TTATTGAATCCATTGGCCCTACCGAACAAAACAGGACTGCCCCCATAGGGTTTCGAAAGCTATAGAAATCTTTACAGATCTATAAATCTTCACAGGTATATGACTCTTGACAGAAATAGACCACCATCTTTCTTTCCAAGAGTGGCTAGTGGATTTGAACCACCAACCTTTTGGGATGTATTTTAGCCACAGCACCACAGGAGTTCCCCCGTGGCAGCATAGACATCAAACAATGGACTTCTTCTTGAGATGTTATTTCAGAGAAGCACAATGCGATGGACTCCTCACGGAAGAATAAAAGCAAAAGAAAGAAAACCTTACTGCCTTCAAGTCGATGCTGACTGACAGCAACCCTACAGGACAGGGTAGAATTGCCCCTGTGGGTTTCTGAGACTGTCCCTCTTTACGGGACTAGAAAACCTGTTTTCATCACCTTCTGTTCACACCACGAGTGAGAGAAGGGCTCCTCCCAAAGGACTGTGGAGCTGACTGAACACACGTCATCCAACAGTGGACACTGAGAACAGTATCATCTTAGCCATATAGATGCCACGCAGGGCCACGCAGAGTTCGCCCTCCTAAACAGACTGAACAAGAGGTTGAGAGCAGTAAGCTTTTCAAGATCAAAGAGGGTCGGGTGACTCATGGTTCCCATAAGAACATGACCGGCTCGTTTGAATGATTCTATAAATTCTGGTAGGAATTACCACCCACTACTCAAAAAGAAGCCGGAGTGGAACCTGGTTCTCTTGTCAAAGAGAGTTAGCCCGGAGCTGTTATGGATGGAAGCAAAATGGAGAGGGGGGCTTGCAGGGAGGCCAGGTGAGGCGCTCCGGATTTTGTCAGATGTCAAGGCAACACCTATTATTAGGCCTTGATTTCAGGTCTCACACCTCATAGCCCCTCCTGCCTATGGTTTACAGTGCAATTGGCCGAAAAACAAATGTTCTAAAGAAGAGTTTGAGTGAAACGACAGGAGGAAAGGGGGCCACCATTTGCCAATCACTGTGTAGATGCCTCTGCAACATGATGGATAGAACAGCTTTTCTGAATATCCCTTTTGGATGTTTGACTCTTGACGCCATCAGCTACTGAATAGATAGCTGATAGAAGGGGTAGCAAATATAATTAAGTTCCAAACCCTCGACTCCAGTCAAGGAATCTATAAAAATTAAAAAATTTAAAAGTCACTGTCGTTGAGTTGATGCCAACTCATAGCGACTCGATGGGTCAAGGCAACACTGCCTCTGTGAGTTTCTGAGACTGTCAATCTATATGGGAGTAGAAAATCTCGTCTTTCTCCCAAGGAGTGGCTGGTGGTTTTAAACTGCTGATCTTGCGATTAGCAGCCTCACTTGTAACCACTATGCCACCAGGGCTCACCAAGAATCTATAATCTCCCCCCAAAACGCATTTCCCATTTACCCCATCCTGCCAGGAGGTATGAATAATGCTGTCCCTGAGGAATGGCCACTCCCTTTCTTCAAAGTCCCAACTTCTCTCACCTTGGGCCACAAATGTAGTGACCAGAATGAAAAGTCCACTCAGGAACATGAACGATATCTGGCTTATTCGACGACCCATATGATTCATTGCCAGAAGGGCAATACATCGAGCTGGGAGGGTGGCGGCTCCAAAGAGAACCTGGTACAAGGAAATATCGCTCCCCAAGTGCTGCAGGTTGAGAGCCAAACCATAAAAGGCTAGACTGGTTGTAAATCTGTAGAGCAAAGAAGAAAGACACAACCATTGAGATCGGGAGCCTCCGTGTGGCAGCTGGTCACCACGTTGAGCCCGACAGGCAGCCGTCATGGGTAAAGAATAAAGGCTTGACTGCTGGGTCCAGACAAGCTGGATTAGGGGCAGTGCACTTGATTCCTCCCAGGAATTCAACCACCACCACTTGGACAGCAAAAGCATCCCGGACTAAAGAAACACTTAGTTATCAGAAGATTCTGAAGCGTCAGCAAAGGAAGGCAGACTCACTAAGATGCTCAGAACGGGAAGAGCAGCACCTTCTTTTCCTCCCTCCAGGATCCTGCCAGCACTCCCCAGCTCCAGAGGAGTGTGGGAGGCGGGGTGGGGTGGGAGGTGGGGTGGAGATCATCTTTATATCCCCGCGTGGGCATTAAGAAGCTCACAAACACTAGGGAGCACAGAGACCAAGACAAACCCCAAAAACCCTGTGCTCACAAAGGGCCAGGAAAGGGCTGACTGACCCAGCAAGACGGAGCTTGACAGTCATGCTGGCCATTTCCCAGATGAACGCCACAAAGAAAGCTGTGGCCCTCGCCTTGTCCACCAGGGGTCAGCAGAGTCTGTGAGCAGAGGTCCTCCTGTGCTGAGCCTGAATCCTCTCTCGGCAGTGCAGTCAGGAGGTAGCATCACTCTGAGCTGAATCTCTGGGTGGAATTCTGGTTTCTGAAGCACCCTACCGTAATGAAGCAGCAACCTTCTGGTCTGCGTCTGTGGATGGAGCGGAGACATCTGTCCCCACCCTCTAATGAAATGGTAGCATCCCTGGTGAGACCAGCCTATGGGTACATCATTGTTTTCCATCCCCACTCTGATTAACAAAGCAGCAACCATGCCGGGACAGTCTCTGAGTGGAGCTCTGACCCCCACCCTGCCCAGCAGGATTGAGGGGGCTCTGTGCCTCAGTTGAGTCAGTAGGTGGAGTCTTGGATTCCCATTCTACGCTATGACAATGAGACATCATCACTTCCTCTCCACCCTGGTTACAATGGCCACAGGCACTGTGCAGTGAGACCCTGCTGGCCATACGAACCTGCCTACATGCTGTGGCGATTTCAGAGTGGAGTCCGATTCTCTGGATAGTGCATGTAGTACAAATCAGAATAGCACTCCAATGATTCTGTGAACTCAATTGGCATCTAAACAACAACCCCCCCCCAAAAAAAAAAATGCATCCCTAACCTAAAAGAGTTGAGTGCATGCTAAGTCTTGTTTTTAATTTAATGAGAACCAGAAATTTACAATACTCAAAAGGTTCGGAGATAATTCAACAATCACATGTTGATTGGGAAAGCACAGCAGGTGCTAGCATGACATAGGTGTTGGAATGATCAGAAGAGGATTTTGTAAGAGCTAGCATAAAAACACACCAAGAAAAAAAATTATAAACACTCTTGAAATAAATGAAGGAAAAATGTCAGCAAAGAAACTGAGATAAGAAGAACCCAATGAAAATTTTAGAACTGAAGAATACAATAATCAATATTAAAACTCTCAAGATGAACTATCCAGCAGAATGGAGATAAGAAAACATTAAATTGGACAGATCAATGTTGGTAGGTGCTGCTGGGGTGGTTCTGACTCATAACAACCCTATATATAATAGACAAAACACTGTCCAATCCCATGCCAGTCTCACAATTGTTCTTAGGTTTGAGCCACCTTGTTGCAGCCACTGTGTCAAGTCTCCTTGTGAAAAGCCTTCCTCTGTTCTACTGCCCCTCTACTTTACCAAGCACGATGCCCTTTTCCAGGAACTGATGTCTCCTGATGTGTTAGTCCAAGATGACTAGAGAAACAAGTCCAGGGACACTTGTGCGTGTAAGAAAGAGCTTTATATTAAACAGTAATTGTATATTAAGAAAGCATCCCAACCTAGTCCAGATCAATATCAGCACATATGTCTAACACCAGTCTATACATTCCTCTTCAGACTCACGCACCACATGCAATGATGCCAAACGCAGGAAGATCGCAGGCTTGTGGAAAGTCTTGTGGATCCAGTGGCGGTGGAAGCATCTCAACACTGACATGGATCTCCACGTGGTGCCTCCACCTCCAGGGCTCTGGCTGCCATCAGCATAGTTTCCTGTGACTTGTCAACAGGAATGTCTAACAGAGAGAGAGTGGGTCCAGCCTCCAGTGAGCTATTTATCTCCATTGAGCCTCCAAATGAGGTCATCAAGCTGCGACCTGATTGACAGGCTAAACTCCACCCCTTCACCCATAACATGGTCCGGTTGACAGGAGATCATGTAACTACCACACCTGATAACATGTCCAAAATATGCAAGATGCAGTCTCACGATCATCCTTTTTAAGGGTCTATTCTTGGTGATACGGTTTCCATGACAGATTTGTTGGTTCTTCTGGTAGTCCACGGTACTTTTAATATTCTTCCCCAACAGCACACTTCATAATAACATCCATTCTCCTTATTCATTGCCCAACTTTCACATGCATATAGGGCAAGTAAAAAGACCATGTCTCGGGCCGGGTACACCTTCATCTTCAAAATGTCATCCTTGCTCTTCAACACTTAGAAAGGTCTGGTGCAGCAGACTCGCTCAATGCAATGCCTTGTTTGAACATTTTGATT